TAAACGACTAAACAACTAAAAAACAACAACAACATCATAGAATAGAATCATAGAATTGTAGTGTTAGAGGGGAACCCAGGTGCCTTCTAGTCTAAGGTTACCAGATTTTCCCCAAAGAATCCGGGGACACTTTTTTTTTAAGAAGAAAAAAAAGTTATTAAAAATTATGATTATTTTTTAAAAAGTAATATCTTCTCTTCTGTGGTCTCCTGTGTCACGCGGCCTTCCTCTGGGCCCCATCCTGCTCTCTTGGAGCACTAGCCGCCATGGAGTAGGCTTGGGTCGGGCCTGGGCTCGGCCACGTCTCCTTGCCCTCCCGGTGCTCTCCTACCTCTCCTCAGTGGTGGCGGTGCGGCAATGTTAGGGCTCCCCTCTTTTCTCTCCTTCCTCTTTCTCTCTCTTCCTTCTCCTTCTCCTCTCCTCCTTCTACCTTCATCAGCTCCAGGGTTTTTACTGGCCTCGGAGCGCCACTGGGCAGTCGGCTTGGTGCTCTCGCTCCCAGCTCGATTTGGTCGCGGGGGTGTGTGTGTCAGGAGTTCCCCCAGTTGACGCGCCAGGTGTCCCCGGTTCTCCCTTGGCAATGGCGGCAGCAGCAGCAGTCTCAGCAGCTCAGAGTAGTGCAGTTGGCTCTAGCTGGCTTCAGGAGCAGCTAGCTGCCGTGGCGCCCGCCATTTTGCCCCGCCAGAAGTCCCCAAATGATGTGTCTTGTGCCGTTGAACCATTCAAGCAACATTCATTCCCTGCTAATAAATCTACAACACTTAAAATATAAATCCAGGGACATTAAATGAAATCTGGGGACATTCCGGGGACAGATTTTGTCCAGTGACAGATTTGTAAATCCAGGGACTGTCCCCGGGAAACAGGAAACCACTAACGTCACATCCCGTCTCCTCTCCCGTGAGACTTCCAACAGTCTGGACTGTCTCTGGAATGTAAACAGAGTCCTGTGACTCCAAGCAGCTGCTCAGTGGCAAAACAGAAACTAACAACGGGGACGTCTGGTAACCATATTCTAGTCCAACCCCCTGCAATGCAGGAATCTCAACTCAAGCATCCATGACAGATGGCCATCCAACCTCTGCTTAGAAACCTCCAGTGAATGAGAGCCCACAACCTCCTGAGGGAGTCTGTTTCACTGTTGAACAGCTCTTACTGTCAAAAAGTTCTCCCTGATGTTTAGGTGGAATCTGTTTTCTTGCAACTTGAAAGCCATTGGTTTGGGGCCTACCCTCCAGAGCAGGAGAAGACAACCTTGTACCTTCTTCCACGTGACAGCCATTGAAATATTTGAAGATGGCTATCATATCTCCTCTCAGCCTCCTCTTTTCCAGACTAAACATACCCAGATCCTTCAAACATTTGTCGTAAGGCTTGGTTTCTAGACCCTTGACCATCTTGGAACTATTCCATTCATGTCTACTATCTCATTGAGCTCAGTGGAGCTTCTTCCCAGGAAAGTGTGCATAGATTTGTATAAGAGAGAAATTGGATAGAGGTTTATATATAACACTATACATGTGGCAGAAAAAATGAATAGGTAGACTGAGTGTGAGTTTGTTTATTTTCTCTTCTCCATTCAAAGTACCAGAACTTGCGGTCTCAGATTAAAGCAAAAGAGAATTAAATTCAAGGCAGACAAAGGAAAGAATTTTCCCCAATAATGAATATTTTAATGTGTGTTAGCTGTTTGGTACCGACAGCAAGCCCCTTTGAAGTTGTCCTCTGATGTCACAATGGTGTCATGTGATTGGCAGGTGGGTGGCTCCACCCACCTGTCAATGTGTAGCCTATGGTGTGGATGTGTTATTGTTCCCCAATGCCATAGTTCAGCAAAGTTTTGATTCATAATTGCTTGGGATATTGCATAATTTCCCTCTGATTTTCCCTCTCTGAGAGATTCCAAGCACAAGCCGATCTATTGCTAGTCCCTCCCATCTCCCACCGCCAAGAACGAATCTGGATGGCTAAATCTAGAAAGAACATCAACCTTCTCATGCATGACTAAGAGGCTCAAAAGCAATTCCACTGAATCAATCACAGACTATTTTCCACAATGGCTTACTTCACACGCCAAGTGACTAACCGTGCACATTAGCCATCTAATAAGTGAAAGTGTTTCCTGCAATGGGCTTAATAACCTTTCAAATTATTGTGGGTTGTGTTTTTTTGTTTGTTGTTTTTTTGCAAAAAAAAAAAAAGAAGAAGCAAAAACAAAGGTTATTATAATGTGTTCAGTTAAATTCGAAACTGTAGCTGCAAGAGCCATTATGTTAATCAAAATACTGTATTAAGGCAGCTTGCTACATGCTTTAAATTAATAAATGATGCACTGCTGTGCAATCAGCAAGGTTCCGTCGGGGTCGGAATGAAGCATCGGAGCTATGACCCTCCGCTGAATTTGACAAATGCAGGAAGAACATTTGATCTGTAGCCATCAGATCAAGTTATCTTCTAGGACTATCTTGCAAATTGTGTGCTTTGATCATTTCTGGGCTGCTGCTGCTGCTGTTAAAACGTGTGCTATGGAAGTGGGGGAATCTCTCTGACTGCAGCAAGGGCCAGCCTCGAGGTTGGCAAGTTTCCAGGATCTGGGAGTGAGCTGCTTGTCTGGTCAAGTGCTCCAGAAGCCGTATCCTCCAACATTTCTCTGATGAAAACAGGGACGTCCCACCATACCCTCCAACATTTCTCCGATGAAAATAGTGACGTACGTCCTAAGGAAGCACGGGTCATTCCAGGATCAAATCAGAAACCGGGACAGCTTCTGTAAATCTGTGATCGTCCCTGGAAAATAGGGACACATGTAGGGTCTTAAGAAGCTGGTGTACAACCCTCAACATTCAGCAGCCGCTTCCCAGAGCAGCAAACAAGGATGTTGCTTAACACGAACCATGCATCCTATTTGTATATCTGAATACACATGTGAATTGAGCAAATTAGGATGTCAGTGTGATCTACCACATTCCCACCAGATCTGGAAGCAAATCTAGGGTCTGGCTTGAGAGACCTGGAGCTCAGGCTCATGAACAATGGCTCTGGCAGCATGCAAGAATCAAAAGGGCCAGGGGATAGTTAAAACCAGGCAGGGGGTTCAAGATCAGTTATCAGCAAAAGGGGAGAGGCGATTGCAGTGTGCTGCTAACCATGCCTATTCAGAAGCCCTACTGAATTCAAATAAGTTACCCTCAAGTAAGTGGAGTTAGACTTGCAGGCTTAGGCCAGCGCCGAGGGCCTTCTGGCGGTTCCCTCACTGCAAGAAGCCAAGTTACAGGGAGCCAGGCAGAGGGCCTTCTTGGTAGTGGCACCCGCCCTGTGGAACGCCCTCCCACCAGATGTCAAAGAGAACAACAACTACCAGACTTTTAGAAGACGTCTGAAGGCAGTCCTGTTTAGGGAAGCTTCTAATGTTTGATGCATTACTGTATTTTAATATTTTGTTGGAAACTGCCCAGAGTGGCTGGGGAAGCCCAGCCAGATGGGCAGGGTATAAATAATAAATTCTTCTTCTTGTTGTTGTTATCAGCATTAGGGGCATCATCTAATTTTTCAAGGATGGGGACGGGCCCCCTCAATATCCAATGGCAACATGTGCATTCTGTGTGCGCATGCTGCAAAGTGTGCTCAAGTCACTCAGGCACCACCAACAGGTGCTTCTGTCAAAGGCTAGCAGCCCAGTTTAGCTGGTTTATTTTAATTCAGGTAGGTAGCCGTGTTGGGCTGATGCAGTCAAAATAAATAAAAAATTAAAAAATTGTCCAGTAGCACCCAGTGGTGGAGTTTCATGCTCCGGCACCGGGGGGGTGGAGAGCAGGCAGGGGCGGGGCTGGCACGCATCCTGGGGGCATGGCGTGCCACTCTCAGGGGTGTGATGTGCATCCTGGGGGCGTGGCACCCAGTGCAGGCGGGGCGGCAGCCATGATGGCACCCCACCGGGATTGTGCTGCCGGGGGCAGTGGGCTCCCCCCACACTCCTCTTCCTTCGCCAGTGGTAGCACCTTAAAAGTTAAAGGTAAACGTAAAGGGACCCCTGACCATTAGGTCCAGTCGTGGCCGACTCTGGGGTTGCGGCGCTCATCTCACTTTATTGGCCGAGGGAGCTGGCGTACAGCTTCTGGGTCATGTGGCCAGCATGACTAAGCCACTTCTGGCGAACCAGAGCAGCGCAAGGAAAAGCCGTTTACCTTCCCATCGGAGTGGTACCTATTTATCTACTTGTACTTTGACGTGCTTTCAAACTGCTAGGTTGGCAGGAGCAGGGACCGAGCAACGGGAGCTCACTCCGTCACGGGGATTCGAACCACCAACCTTCTGATCGGGAAGTTCTAGACTCTGTGGTTTAACCCAAAGCACCACCTTAGAGACCAACTAAGTTTGTTCTGGGTATCTGAAGAAGTGTGCATGCACATGAAAGCTTATATCCAGAACAAACTTAGTTGGTCTCTAAGGTGCTGCTGGATAATTTTTTAATTTTTGGTTTATCTTAACTTCATTCTGCACACTTTTCCAGATAGACTGGCTTCTTGCTATTGGGCCAAGGTCTACAGGAGGACTCTCGGATATCTTCCATTGGGCCTGGGGTCCACCACATCTCCAGGGAACTCAGGGCTATAGTTGGCATTCGGGAAGTTGTGCTTGTAAAGTTGGGGAAAGGAAATGGATGAGATTTCCAGCCCTTAAGCAAACAGACAAAAAACTCCTGCCCTACGTGAGGGTTTCCCCGCTCAAAGTCATCCCAAAATTGGCTCCAAGAGAATTTGACCTCATTCACCACCTATCGTGTCCTCTTAGTGAATTGGTGACTGACACAATTCCTCAGCACCTTTGTTATGTATCTTAGACTTCCTTTCACCACGCTTTGGCTGTGGACCAGCACTGCACATGGAATGCACTGCTTTGTAAGTGCAACATAAAGTCTGCTGGATTTTGACCTTTCCAGTTTTTCCTTGGAGGGCTTTGCCCACGGAGTGTTCTACCTCATGTGCTGTCTTTTAGCACATTTAGCACCATGCTTGAGCGGGTGGTGAATCACAGGACTGGCTCTGATTTTGTCGCCCATTATCTGGACAACTTTTTTTTTTTCCTGGAGAGATAGGTCATTGGCTTATACAGTGGTACCTCGGGTTAAGTACTTAATTCGTTCCGGAGGTCCGTTCTTAACCTGAAACTGTTCTTAACCTGAAGCACCACTTTAGCTAATGGGGCTCCCGCTGCTGCTGCGCCGCCAGAGCCCGATTTCTGTTCTTATCCTGAAGCAAAGTTCTTAACCTGAAGCACTATTTCTGGGTTAGCGGAGTGTGTAACCTGAAGCGTATGTAACCTGAAGTGTACGTAACCCGAGGTACCACTGTACGTTATTTACACAATGAGTCCCATCTGACTGGCTGATTCTGCTTCCCTCCTGGAGCCTGATTGGTCTTTTCCTGCAGGCCAATCAGTCATTGCATTCTACGATCCTCCCAGCCTAACCTGAAACTGTTCTTAACCTGAGGTACCACTTTAGCTAATGGGGCCTCCTGCTGCTGCTGCTGCTGCGTGATTTCTGTTCTCATCCTGAAGCAAAGTTCTTAACCCAATATACTATTTCTGGGTTAGTGGAGTCTGTAACCTGAAGCGTCTGTAACCTGAGGTACCACTGTACAACCTTTGAGTGCAGTTGCTGAGGAATGTGGTATTGCTTTGGCATCAGGGGGGCAAAAAATGGAGGGTCCCTTGCCTCTTCTGACCCTTGAGGGCATCAAAATTTTCAAGAGATTTCAGTTCTCCAGGTTGCCAGAGCCCAAACCAATATAGCTGAGGGCCAGATGGGCCCAAGTCACAGCTGTACAAAGCCTCACCCCTTGGGAGCTCGGAGTTCATGGGCCAATTAAATTGCGCTTGCCATGTAGTTACTCCCTAGTCACTTCCTTTTGAGGCATTTGTGAGATGCCTCAAAAGACCCTCGGGCTCCACATCACCATTTCAGGATTTATGGCAGGCGGGAAGCAGACCTGTGTGTTTGGCTTTTCTTTTTGGACCAATTTAATGTCATTTCCTCTTGCAGGAGCGAGCTGCTCCTCAAAGCTGAGCTGGATGTTCACTCGGGGAAGGCTTGGCATGGGACTTATCATGCCCTAATGAGGTAAGATTATAGAGCTGAAGAGAACCTGGAGGACATTCAGTTTGTCACTACTAGAAATCTAATTTACTCACTCCTCTGACCTCTGAGAGTTCCACAGATATTTCCCACTTACTTTCAAAGAAATATGAAACGAGAAACCTTTCTCAAAAAATGAAGACTAAGTTTCTTAGTGAATTAAAAGGGAAGGTAAAGGACCCTTGGATGGTTAAGTCAAGTCAAAGGCAATAATAATAATAATAA